TAAATTTTAAGTGTGAGTAGTATTATACAGTTAAGCTAGTGAAAAAAAACCATTTCTATTAGAGATACAGTAAAGCATTTCTAGTGAAATCTATGAATAGGTTTTATTGTTTTAAAATAAATCAGAAGATACAGATTTCTTTTTTAAAAGACCTAGCTACATATTTGGTAATTTTAAAAATTGGGTGAGGTATATAAGGGTTGGTTACTTATTCAAATCTCTCTCATGTCAACTTTCAGAAATTTCCATAATTAAAGAGTTTTCAAAAGAGAACATAAATGAAGCCATTTAATGAAATAAATTATTCGTTTACAACGCAAGAAAAAAATTCTCTAAGCAAAGAAAGAGAAGGACAAGATTAGGAAAGGGTTGGGAAAGGGAAAGGGACTTGATTATTGCAAATTAGTAAACAGAGTTCTCAACTGCACATTCTTTACCTTGAAACACAGAACGTACCTTCAGTTCCTGGGCAGTTTGCTCTACTTTCAATTCTAATGCTTTATAACTTTCAAGAAGAACCTCTTTCTCTGTTTTAAGCTTTTCATTTTCTTCAATCAGTTTCTGGTCCTGTTTAATTTTTGCCAGGCTAACATTGGACCCTAAATTAAAATCACCAGCAGCCAAACTTTCCCTGTTAAAAATAAATTCATTTACTTTAAAAACCAAAATGCATAAACTGACAGGAAATTAGAAACTTAACTTACTTGCACTTTTTACTCACAGAACACATAATTTATACACTCTTACTCACATATACATGCATACATGTGTGTATATATATGCAGGTAAATTTATATATACATATTATGTCCCAAATAAAATTTTGTATTAAAAAAAGTTCAACATTAAATTATGCAAAGCAGAATTCATAACTGAAGCCATCTTTCAAAATGATGCTTTAATTCTCAAAGACAAAATACTTCACTACCTCACAGCACTATCAGCACCAATAAATACAATGAACAGCATTTCTATAGAAAGTTTTTGTAATCCTTCCTTCTCATTCTTTTTGACAGTATAGTTCTTAAAGCATTAATTAAGATCCCAACAAGTTAGCTACATCAGCATACAGAAGAGTGAAAATGTTTTCGTTCCTATCAAGATCAAATCTGGTTTTCTGCATTGTCTGTATTACAAAGCTGTCTGAAAGTGAACTCCTTTGTAAGTAACAAAATTAACAAATTTTCATAGGAGATATCATTTGATTTTTAAAAAATGTTAGTAATTCACTGGAAGTAAGATATGCATAGGGAGCTCTGGTGGCCTAGCAGTAGAGAGTTGCACTGCCAATCCAAAACTATCTAGTTCAAGGTCACCAGTTAATCTAGCCATTTGATTTAAAAAAAAAAAATTAAGTCATTCACTGGAATTAAGATATTCTTAGGGAGCTCTGCTGGCCTAATGGTAGAGTTACACTGCCAACCAAAAGCTATATAGTTCAAGCCCACCAGCTGATCTACAGGGCAAAGATGGACAATCTCCTCCCATGTAATTTATAACCTCTGAAAGCCCTCTGGAGGCACATGATAAAGGTAAAAAACCCAATTAAAAAATGGACACAGGATATGAACAGACATTTCACCAAAGAACACATTCAGATGGCAAACAAACACATGAAGAAATGTTCAAAATCCCTAGCTATTAGAGATATGCAAATCAAAACAACTATGAGATATCATCTCACCCTAGTAAGAATAGCAAAATTTAACAAAATAGCGAACAACAAATGCTGGTGAGGTTGTGGAGAACAACCTCACTTAAATTACTGTTGGTGGAAGTGTAAAATGGTGCCACCACTATGGAAGGCTGTATGGCACTTACTCAAAAAGTTGCAGAGATAACATCTGACCCAGAAATTCCACTACTGGGAATTTACCCTAAAGAAACCATAACTGCCACCCTAGCAGATATATTCACATCAATGTTTATTGCAGCTTTGTTCACAATAGCAAAGAGCTGGAAACAACCCAAGTGCCCATCAACAAATGAATGTACAGAGAAGCTCCGGTATATTCATACAATGGAATACTATGCATCACTGAAAAACAAGGAACTCATGAAATATGAAAAATGGATGACCCTAGAGGACATTATGTTGAGTGAAATATCTCAGTCACAAAAGGACAAATATTGCATAGGGCCACTGTTATAAAATAGGACTGATATCAGGGTTGAAGACAGAAAAGGAGGGGAGGAATGATGTACACTGCATTGAAATGAGATGAGGGAGAGTACTGTTTAAAAGGGATGTATGAATGGGTATTCTTGTCATTACAGAAGTATAGAGTGAAGGCTGCAGAGTGAAGTTGACTTTGGGAGGGGGGACTGCATAACAATGAAAGAGTTTTTTTCCTTTTCAAGGAGAAGAGTGAATTGGGGGGAAGGGACAGGTAGGGAGAAAAGTGCAACAATGAATGACTGGAAACACTAAGTCTCTGTAAACTTTCATTAAAATTCATTTAAAAAAAAAAACCAACCGCTGGAGGGTGAGTTATGAATTGGTTCCTACTCAATGACACATAACAACAAAGATATTCCTATCACTCACTCACTCATTACCACTGAGGTAGAAATGACTCATAGCTGATCCTCGTTAACAGGTTTTCAAAGCTGTAAATTGCATGAGAGATTCTCCGTATTTCTCACTTAGAGCCACTGGTGGATTCAAACCACCAGAGAGTGCTGCCTTTAGGAAAGAAACCAAACTCCCTATAGACAACAGCACTAGAACTCCCTAAGACGTCGTTACAGTCACAGGAAAACTTTCAAATATGTTTACAATATGGTTCTACCTAGACAATTAAAATTTATGTGTACTTTTTCTTTTTTATAAACATATCTCAGAGAGCTGACATGTAGATTTTAAAGGATTCAGTAATAATTTTTCTTACAAAAGTATTTTTACTGAAGGTATTTTTGCTAAATAAACACATTTGAGAAAAACAAAAATTATCCATTACTATCATCTCAAATCTTAGTCCCAAATCATTGACATAGTTAAGGCCTAAAAAGCATAAGTCTTGATTTTTATTCTGACAATAATATCTAAAATAAATGAGATAATAGATATAACATAAAATCCCACCATAGTCTTACTTGGGAAAAGTCACATGATTTCCTGCATTATTCTCATTCTTCACATCAAGGCTTAACCTTCCACTTGATCGTCCCTTCGACCTGCTGAAGTTTGACTGGTTTGATCTGTGTCCCCACAAGGGGATGGGATTCTTGAGGTTCCTGATAGCAAGCTGACCAGGATCCGATTTTTTTTCCTCAGAGATGTTATTGTTGGAAGCTTGTTTGCATTTTTCTGCAAATCCTTTCTTAGCCACCTCTTCCCCTATGTCCACACTGCCATATTCTGCTTGAGCAATAACTGTTCCATCTTGATAGGTTGCTTTAATTCTCATTTTTATTTCTTTCTCAAAAATCAAGCTCCCTAAAAAGGTTCTGCCCTAAGAAAGGTGGGGGGGGGGAGGAGAGGAAAAGACATAAAGCAGCTACACCAACATATTTTTAATCAAGTATTTTGCTTCTACCCAGTTTTTGCAAGGAATATATTTCTTTACTCTGAAGTCTCTATAGAACAGCAGCCTTACCTTTATTTTATAGCTGCTACCTCATAGCTGTTCCCTATATGCAAATATAATGCTGCATAGGTATGAATATATTTTAATTACAAGCTTGCTGAACTCTTTCCAGAAGCAGAATTATTATCCACCTAACAGAGCTGGCAAAATTAGTAAACCAACACCAATAACTAAAGCAATCATATTTCTAGAATTTTAAATATGCTTTCATCAAACACCTTTTCAGCTGTCTTTTAAATGTAGCATGTAATGTTTTATATTGAGCACTCTGACTCCAAGTAAACACTCTTATCATCCAAGGAGCTATATAATAAGTTAACTGGTATCTACTAAAAGTACTTAAAATTTTTACAAAAATACAACTTTTTTTAAAAGAAATACAACTTTTAAAAGTTTCTAAAGACTTAAACTGATTTTAAAGTAAGAACAGCAGAAGCAAAATCAGCAACACAAAGCACAAAACAATATAGAAATTAAAGAATGTGAAATGTTTTTAATTCAGGATTTTATCAAATAAAATTTTGTTTGAAAAATGAGACACCTGTACAAATTACTTAAGAAGCCATATAAGAAATAAAATGTTTGCTAATTTTTAATGCCACTTAAAACTGCATTTAACTTTTACTTCAATATCCATCAATAACCCTAAGTACAGACATACTCAACATATTTAGGATTGGAAAATATCTTGCAACTTTTTAATAAGAATTTTACTAGGACTCCAGAAAACTAATTTCTGAAATTACTTTGATTTGGTCTAATGCTAATTATTCTTTCTTCTCAAATTTCTCTAAGTTTCTTTCTAAATTTTACTCTAGACTGAAGGGGAAATAAGTTACTTTTACATAAAGACCCAATTTAAAATAAAAATATTGTTTGGCTGGTCCGAGTGCAGTGGAGGCAACAACTAATTGATGATATCCAGTTGCAGATTTGTTCCTTCTCCACTACCACTGCTTCAACTTGACCAATCTTAAGTAAAAAAAAAAATTGTTTTCAATTAAAAAAATAGGTATTGTTTAAATTTACTGGTTCATACCTTCCTTGGAAGAGGTATGTGATTAACTTGACAAACTTTCAGAGTAAGGTCTTTTTAGTTCTATTTCTCATAGATATACATTAATAACATGGTTTAAGCAAATAAAGCAGAGTCACTAGAAAATGAGACCAATAATTATTAAGGAAATAAGAATATAAAAAGTCAAACTGAAAACTTGAAAATGCAAGCTAGGAAGAAAAGAATGACAGAAAGGGAGGAAGAGGGGAGGGAAAGAATGAAAAGGAAAACTTCAAGATATAAAGATATAATTAATATTGGAATGAAGAAGTTTTCTTTTTAACTATACAATAGTATAAAGGGTAGAAACAGGCATTCTTAAATTTTGTATGTTTCATTAATTTCTTTATTAACTTTAAAATACTCTTAATGCCTAACAATAAAGTTTTTAAATGCATAAAATACATAGGATTAAAAGAGAATCATAAGAGTCCAGAATGAGGGTTGCAGTGTGGCGTATACTTGGGGTGGGGATGTGCGGGGTGAGAGAAGGGACTGTGTACCAATGAAGGAGTTTGTCTTTTGCTTTTCAAGGAGAGAGCAAACTGGGGGTGGGGGTGGGGTGAGGTGGATGGGGAGAAAAGTGCAACAATGAATGGAATTCCAAAATCTCTGCAGATGTTCACTGAAATTAATAATAATAATAATAATTTTTTAAAAAAAAAAGAGAATCCTTGTTATGCAATTTAACTCTAAACTGGCAAACTATGAGCACAGAAGGATGTATAAGGGGCAGCAGAAGAGAGTCAAAACATCTACACTCAAGTATCAACAACTCAATCAAAAAACTAGGAGGATAGTAAAGAATTTTTTAATACACAAATCAAGTGACAAGGTATTTTAGATTAAAAAAAGGTTATAAAACACTTAAGTCTAAATTTTTAAACACAAAAATTATATAGAAGAGCTTGAATTTGCCAAGAATATCCATATAGCAATGGTCATCATTACCAAACAAGTAAGATAAAGCAAGCAAATTTAATAAATTCATATGGTAACTCACTCAAAAACTTCACATATAATGTATTCCTCTCTATCATCAGAATAATTTCTATTAATCAGAATGCAGTTTATTGGTTGACTTAAAAATTCTTTACAATACATATTGTTAAAAGTCTACTTAAAATTCAAATTCAATGTTCATCCCTAATCAATGTTAATGAGAGTGACAGTGTTAGTAAATTACTGCTACAATGTATATAGATCTTGGTATTTCAAGACATTTTGGCATCTGGTAACTTATGACTCTTAACAGAAATAATCAACTTTGTAAAGAAGTTCCTACTACCTTTGACTGAGGGTAAACTTGCCCTTAGTTAAAATTTTTAGGCAGAAATATCATTTTTAGACTTCTCTTGATTACAAATTATTCAACTAGATTTTCTATGTACTAAAAAGAACCACAAAGACACAACTGTGAATTAGGAATAAAACCTAAATTCTCCTCAGTTCTTATTAACAAAAAAAAGACGACAAGATGGATAGATAATGCATGTTTAATATTATACTTTATCATCAACATAGATGCTATATGCATTCTTCTGTAAATGTCAATCAAATATTTTAAACATGTGTATTTCCAACCTAACCTGTGAGATGAAGACAGACATACACATGTGTTTTTTAAGCATATTTAAATATCAAGATGGCATAGAATTTCTTTTTCAAACAAATCTTATCACTGATTTACCAAAACACAGTATTTCAAACAAAAATATTAGTGTTACTTTTCCAAGACTTATTTCATTGTTTTTCAAATGGTAAGCTTTATTCAGAAATGGGAAAATACCACTTGCTTTTTGCCTAGATATAGGATGTTTTTGTTTTGTCATATTAGCAAACAGGCTAAAGAGCCCTATACTAACAAACCCAAATTCCAATTTCTAGTTCTCATTCCCTGACTATGTTTTAAAATAATTAAGGCATCACTCATTCACTGCTGTCAAATTGGAACCAACTCACAGTTAACTCTTCCAGTAGACTGTTGGAGGCGATTGTCTACCTTTCTCCCTCGGAATCAATGGTGGATTTGAACCACCAGAGAAGTGCTGCATTTGAGTCAATGGTACAATTCCCTATGAACCATTCCAGCAGAGTTTCTTCATTAACATATAAGATAGAATTTAATCTTCTTTTTCTATTCAGCAATTTATAACCATCACTTTCTTTTTTTTTGTTAATTTTGTTTTATACTGTTGAGGTGGAACCAACTTATAGCTGACCCTCCAGCACATTTTCAAAGGAAGTAAAGTGCATGGGAGGAGATTGCCGCCCCATGGAGAAGCTGGTGGATTAGAACTGCCTATCTGAGTTGATAGTGCAACTCTTTACCACTAAACCACCAGAGTTCCCTAAGTAAATGTTTAGGATTAGACTGTTGTTGTTGAGTACTCTAATGTCAACAACAACTCATAACCACCCTATGAATAACCTCATCCCATCTTGCACCAATTTCACAATCACCATCATGGTAAAGCTCATTGTTAGAACTCACTGTATCAATTCCTCATGCACAAGATTGCAAATAACAGTTCTGAATGTATTATACAACAGCAGTGAAAGTGTTGGTATAAAAACATGCTGAAGGTATAAAAGTGTTGGTATTAAAAGCGTCTTTTTTAAAGCACTGAATATTATTTATTAACTCATTCAAATGCTAGATAAATCAGATGCTCATATAATACCTAACACACAAGGACAGAGAGAGAAGGCATATGAAATCAATAAAACTGAGTTCTTATTTCTACCAAGCTTACTAACATCTACTGTAGGGAAGGAAAAGATAATTCTACACCCCTTATTTAATAAATGACAAAAACAGGCTGACGGAGAAATACAAATTAGTAAAAACTTCACAGAGGGGATCACATATGAGCTTTGAGTTAAGTAAGAGTAATGAATAAACATGAGTCATCTAAGCAGGAAGCATTCAGTTTGCTAATTAACTTAGTAGGTATAATTTATTTCATGAAGATTAAAGTTCAAATATTTATATTAAGACCACTTATTAAAATAAATCTGTAAAGCATAAGAAAACTTCTTAGGAACTGAAGTTTTTACTCTTTCAATTCCAAAACTAAAGCACATGAGGGGTTTTCCCCCCCTTGTCAGTGTTTATTTCAATTAATATAAATTTGTGACAAATTTGTGACATCTCAATACTAGGAAATGGTTAAGTACTTGATTACTCACTGAAAAGTCTGCAATTCAAATCTACCAGATGCTCCATGGGAGAAAAATGAGACAGTGTGCTTCCATAAAAACTTACAATCATAGAAGCCCTATGACACAGTTCTACACTGCCCTAAAGGAGTCAGAATTATCAATTGGTTTGGGTTTTACATTATCTAAGAACAGCAAAGGACTTGAGTTCTAGTCTTGACTCTGCTCTGATAAGTTTTATTACTAAGTTGCTAAATTACTTCAGACTAAAATGTCATTATTTGTAAAACAAATAAGTGAGAAATGAAGAATCCTAAGGTATATGAAAAAAAAAGATGAGGGTTGTGGGCATGCAAGAAATTCAAAGTAAGCTTTAGTTTTGGTCAAACCATTCATATTAAGAAGTAATAAAGGTTTTTAATTGATGAAATTTTACAACTATATTTGCAGTACACTAAAATATCTGTACAATTCTCAAAAATAATTTTCTGAATTTTCTTTTCTGTTCCTTATAAAACAAAGTAGATAATTTTCTTCTGAACTTCTACACAAAACAATTACAAACTTGACTAATTTGCAATATAATTTTCCTCACCAGAACCAAAACAATCATGATTTCACAGCAGATCTTAAAGAGGCAGGAAATAACTAGAAATTAACTTTTCCCCCCAATGGTAGGTTGCCCAAAACCAAACCTACTGCACTGAGTAACCCTGTTGGAGGGCAGAACTGACGTTGCTATTGTTTGATATTGACTCATAATCGACCCTTCAGCAGGTTTCCAAAGGCAGTAAATCACACAAGAGTAGCTTTCCCATCTTTCTCCTGTGCAGCAGGCTGATACACTCGAACTGAGTGCCTTTCAGGTTGGCAGCACAACTCCTTACCAGTAAGTCACCAGACCTTTCTAGAGTAGAACAACATACACCATAGGACTTCCAAGATTGTAAATCTTTATGAAAGTTGACCATTTTATTTTGCAAAGTCTCGGGTAGGTTTAAACTGTCTACCTTTCACATAGCTAGCAAACGCTTTAACCACTGCAGCATGCAGGAGCCTCAGGATTAGGTTGTTGTTGTAGATTGCCTTCAAGTCAAGCACAGCTCATAGTGACCCTATGAACAAAAGACCTGAAGCCCCTCTACGACTATCAACATTTATCAAAGTTCACAGAGATTCTGAAAGCATGTTGTTTACGAAGTGGATGCCACTCCTGCTTCCAAACCTGTCATAGTATGTTATCGTTATGTGCCGATGAGTTATCTGCAAGGCATACTGACCCTATATACAATAGCTCTGAACTCCTCCCTGTCCTGATTAAGTTACTAACCTAAAATTCAATGGAAACTATAATAAATTAGAATCTAAGTTAAGACACTAATATCAACTGCTACATCATTATAATTACTATTTTCTATTATTTTTTAGTAGTAGTGGCATCACTATTACTACTCTGGCCTCTGTCAAAACAATAAAAATTCATTAAACTATCAATTTGGAATCTAGATCATACCTAGTTTAAAGGTTTTTCTTTATTAAGTTCTCAAAAGGAAAAGATAGAATAATTGTAGTCACCACTTGCTCAGTCATATAAAAAAAAACTATCCTTTTAAGTTTTCACATCAGAAGAAACCACTTGGATTTATTCACTTTATAGAGAACACTTCTGTCTACCAAGAACTTTTCAGTAAAATTAACACAAATGCACTATATAACCGCTCCTGAACTGCGTATATTTTTTCATTAATATACACGTGCTTTTAAACAAAATTAGTGATATTTATTTTTAAAACTTTTTTCTAAGCATATTTTACTGACAATATGATTATATTTAAAATCTGTGACTTGCCTGATCAAACTGGGTAACTTCTTGGCCAGAAGGAATCTGTAGTCCCCAAAGTCTATACTTTTTAGCAACACTGGAAAACTGCAGCTCCAAAGGAATCTCAACAATATCAGATCGATTTAGAACTTCAGTATTTCCATAGTCTATGTACCTCACTAGACACTGGGGAAAAAAATAACACAAACTTGGATTAAATAGTGACCAAAAAAGCACCAATTTGCTGCTTTCTATAAATTGCCTATAAATTAACATAGCATTTTACCCAAAATTGACAAAACACATTCAGAAACAAGAGTTCTAGAAATAAACTCAGAACAAAATCCCTGCTCCATAAACTAAAAGTGATGTCTATATTTATCACTAAGTAACCTCATTCGTACCATTCCTCAGTTTAGCCTTTCATAATTGATATTTTCAATAAATATAAGGCTAGGCTATTTTATCTGTCCTAGTGTTAAAATTAATCAGTATTTTATAACTAGTTTATTCACAAAGTTTGTATACCTTTTTTTCCACACCAGATCTTTGCCATTTGCTTCACTCACCCCTCCCCTCCAGCCAACAAATTGTGCAACCATGTGATTAACCACCTCTGCCCCCCTGCCCATCCTCAACTTTCTGCTCTCCTCTCCCCCCTTAGATGATTCTCATACTCACTATACAATAACGGTCTTATATAATATTTGTCCTTATGGAACTGAGTTAAACCACTTAACATAATGCTCTCCAGTTCTTCCCAAGTTAGGCAGTAATTTACAAAATCATAACTCCTGCAGTGCTGTATTCCATCATGTGAATATACCATAACATTGAAAGTATTAGATCAGGAGGAAAGGAGGGGGAAGGCATGAAATCTCTTTTGAAAAGAGAGAAACCACTTCTGCTAGCAGACCTTGGAAACCACTCAAATTCACCCTTATACTTTCAGCTCTCTCTTTTTTTAAAACTAAAACAAAAATAATTACAAAGTCAAAAGAAATCTTGCCCTTTATTTTAAAGTGTTTAAGACATTAGATCCAATCACAAAGCAAATGTAAATTACCATCTCCATTCGTCAAATTAAGGAAGAGAGTAAAACTTTAGTAATGGTGCTTCAGCTGCCACCAAATCAGCTCTGACTCATGCAGACACATGAACAATGTGATCAGATCATTGTGATCCATGTTGGTTGTTGCTGTATGCCACTGAGTCAGAACCGACCCATAGGTTTTCAGAGGCAGTAAATCACAGGGGGAAAGAATGCCCATCCTTCTCCTGTGGAGTAGCTCTGGATTCTAACCCTGTGTTTCTGGGACTGCAGCACAGCTTCTTACAACTAGGTGACCAAAGCCACGTAAGATTCACAATGAATACCTATTAGAAGTTATTTCACCAAGATAAACTGTTAGGTATTTTACTAACAAATCACAAGACTGAGGGCAAGGGTGGGGGGAAGAAGTGGCACGGATTCAGAACATCAGTTAAACTGCTTCATCTCACCACCTTATTATACTAAGGAAGCTCTGGTGGTCTAGTAAAGGAGTTGTGCAGCCAACCAAAGGCAAGCAGTTAGAATCCACTAGTAACTCTTCTTCAAGTACAGGATGGGCAGTCTCTTCTAATGCAACTGACAGCCTCTGAAAACCTGCTGGAGGATCAACTGTGAGTTGATTCCAACTCAACAGCAATGACTGACTTTTTTAAATAATTTTAGTTGTTGTTAGGTGCCATTGACTATGACTCATAATGACCCTAGGAATAGCCAACCTGAACTCTGCCCTAACAACCCTGCCTGACCTGCACTCTGCCCTATTCTGTGCTATCCTCATTATCTCTGACACACTAGAGCCCAATGCTGAAGCTACCATGTCAATCTCTCATTGAAGTCTTCCTGTCTCTCACTGACCTTCCATCTTTCCAAGCATAATGTCCCTTTCCAAGGAAGAGGCTTGCCTGGCTACTTATCCCAAGTATGAAAGATGAAGGTTCACCATCATTACCTCTAAAAAGTACCCTGGG